AGACTACCGAGGTCGTCAATGTACATTTCCATTAATATGCATTGATCCATTTATTTTTTTGTAATGGATGACACTGCAATGATACCCTGCTGTTACTAACAGTATAGGCTAGAGAGGTACCCGTGAAATATTATAAGATGGAGGGAAGTGATTGTTAGTAATATTGACTTCATTGTTAACAATGTACAATGTCAGTTTGACTACTAAGAAGATCCCCTCGGAAACCATCGTGAAAAATTCCTGTTGAATTTGTCATGATGATCTATCTGACCTGGCCTCATGCTCATTTTATAATCCTCCACTCGTGACCAGCGTAAACTAGTATAGCTGGCGGGAGAACTTTTTTAATTGATGATAATGGAATGCCATTATCATCAATTAAAAAAAACAATCCCCTCCCCTGTTTTTGTACTGCCCGTAGAATCCGTCATACGTCATTTCAGAGGACTGGATGAGATCAGCATAACATTTCCATACTCTATATTTTCACTGCCATATCTCATTCTTCAGATACGCAGTTAACTAAACTGTTTTGCGGTGAGCTGAAATACATAATCCAGAGGACTTTATACGAGTACAAAGTATAAAAAATATATATATCGTTTATTGTCCTTAAAAAACAATTTAATTACAATAATACAGTGTTGGAATGAACTAGTAAGCATAGCAAAGTCTATGTCTAGTGCATCCCAGGTATTACCATAGGCGTAGTACGAGTATATCTTTGGTAAATATCTATAAATTAACTAACCACATAAGCTCCATTGAAGGAAGATAGGAATATCTTATATATAAAATTCTCGTGTCACACTTTTCGTTCTCATACTCCTCCAAAACTGCTTGACCGATTCTCATGAAATTTTGTGAGCGTATTGAGTAGATCTGAAAATATATTTTTCTATTTTTCATCCCCCTAAATGTTAGGGGTAGTCCACCCCTAATTTTTATTTTATTTTATGGCAAAACAACGTTTGCCGGGACAGCTAGTAATAGAATAAAATAGACACTTCTTTATTAAATTCAAATAAACTTAAATTTAAGCATCTTTGAATAGTCAGAATTATTATTTTTATCTGCCGCTCATTGGGAAAGCTGTCTCATCACAAGAAGAACGAGCAAGAAACATACGTGTTGCTCTTTTAAACCAATATCGTAATATTACATTTTTAAGTTAAAATTTTTGAATATAAACTACCAAATATAACTAATTCATTACGGTCAAAGTATTAAATACATGATGTGCACGTTGCTTCACCCGCGTGAAATTTACAGCCTATATGTTATTTTGATGTATAACCTATATTACTGTAATATTTCATCAAAAATCATTCAGTAGTTTTTACGTCAAAGAGTAACAAACATCCATCCATACTCGCAAACAATCGCGTTTAAATTTTTAATAATTATACATAAACAATTGATTGAGTAATTAAATAAGATCGGTTTAGGATTATTAATCCTAAACTAATCCAGATTTTTCTAAAGTCTGTCTTTATTCAACATAGTTAATAAATACAAATTTAAACATCAAATTAAATGTGCAAACCCTAGCCGCGGTTTCAACTTGACTAAGAACCGCAATGGCATAGTGCATCGCCCTTAATCTACTGGTTATACAGGTTTAAGTTTACAATTCCATTACTTTTTTGCTAGTAAAGCAAAAGCTAACTAAGGGTTAACTTTGTATTATGTGCTCAATAAATATAGGCTTACCAAGACCAGAATAGAGAAGTATGGATGCGTGAAGAGGAGGTCTTTGCCCAGCAAAAAGAGGACAGATTAAGATATTAAAATAATAACGTATTATTTACTAGCTACATTGAAAACAAAGATACTAAAACTAAATTAGTTAATTACTGTAGAAATAATTAAACTTTAGTAATAGACAACAATTTTTTGGTCATAAGTACTCGCAAAATTTTACAAAATGATCAAAATCAATAGATAAACTATTTTAGCTACTACTTTAGAACTTGTTTAGCTTGTCCGTCACTATTTTTTACTAATAAATAAATTGCGGTTTATTACTAAAGTTTGGTAGTCACTTTTGTTTTTTTTCATTGTCACTTGTTACAGGGCCACCTGTCATAGTATATACAGCCTACATTACTAGGTTACAATATTATTATCGATAAGTATTTTTTTTATTATGTACACATATAAAAAGTTTTTGTTTCCTATTTATAATATTGATATAGAAAATGTATAGTCAAATCATATACATATAAATATATAGTGATTCATTAGTAACTAAATTATATGAATTCTTAATTAACTGATAAACTTTTAACAAATAATTTAATAGGAACTTTATGTTTTGATTACGCACGAGCAAAGCAAAAATGTTGTTTCATTAATTTTTATTTCGAGTACACATTTAGGTGGTATTAAAAAAATTACGCAATTGCCGTATACAATTCTATTATTCTTTGTCTAAAAGTAACTATACTCTTTGTTGTATAATAGTAGATTTGCGTGTCAGTCTGAAATGCGAGGTTATTTTGGCAAAATGTGCACAAAGCTGCAATAACTATAGCCGTAGATTACGTAAGTTGAATGACAAACAAACTAACGACTAATCGGAAAGAGTCAAACATACTCATACCCTGCATAATAGTATTAATAAAAACTAACGATCCGTCCTGACTTTGCACGGGTGGATATGTAATGATAATAAAAGTAATAACCCTGGACAATTCACACAGCGCCATATAGTCCCAAGCTAAGCAGAGTCAGTATTATTATTTATTATATTTTTTTTGTAAATCCACACATAATATATATAGAAAACACACGGACCGATACAAACAATTTTACTGCCGAATACATCGTGCCGTGTGAGGAATCGAACCCGCGAATATCGTAATTAAGGCGGCGTGCTGAACCACTGGACCACTGAGTGCTATTTATGTATACAGTCGACATTTATAGCCATTCAGTGAGACAAAAGCGTGTTTGACACTTATTAGATTATTTTCTTTCGACATTATTGCAATAGCTGGTGATAACTACATTCACTTACAGACACCTACTTGAATTTAAAAATGATTTTATATTTTTGTATTCATATACAAGCTTCTTTTAATTTGAATGGCTTCTATCAAATGAGGTTTCCTTGACTATGTTCGCATATTTGAAAAGCTGAGTTTCCTGTCAGTTCTTCTTAGCTCGAAAGCACTCCGAACTGATGACTTGACATATCATAAGTCTGTAATAGACCTACATGATTAAACATATTATAATTTGATTCGAGTCCTCGAGTGGCGACCGCTGACCGGAAGACGCAGCGTGACCGACGACCAATTCAAATTCGCTGGAAGGCGTTGGATGCGAATAGCGCAGGACCAATCGTCCTGGAGATCTTTGGGGTGAGGCCTTTGTTCAGCACTGGACGTCTTCCGGCCTGAGATGATGATGATGAATTTGAAATAAAAAAAAAATCACATGGCGAGTACAAAACCGAGGGCACAGCTATAAGCAGTCGGCAATAAATTAGCAACGATCAAGCTACAGTTTAATAGTAAGAATAATTGGTGTACAACAATAAAAGTGAATTGAATAATGGAAAAGATCCGCTAGGGGGCACTGCAGGGCTCGTCCGTTGTAAATCAAATAAAACGACTATCAAAACAATTAATATATGAATATGTCATTGAAAGTTGTTGTTGGTAATTTAACGTTATTTGTAATGAACAATATATATGTACAAAAAACCAGGGATACGCAGTTAAAAAACCCACACAGTAAACTTACTAATATTATAAACGCGAAAGTTTGTGAGTATGGATGACTGGATGGAGGAATGGATGTTTGTTGTTCTGTCAGGCAACAACTGCTCAACGGATTTTGATGAAACTTTACAGTAATATAGCTTATACAACAGAATAATACACAGGCTATATATAATTTAAAATTTGTAATGTAAATTGGGCGAAATACGATGATAAATTTAAAGTAAGCGCGATACAGACGAACGAATTTCCCTAAATGTATGTATTTGAATGCAAAGTAAGGCGGATTTATCGCCATCTGTCGGATTCATTAGGTTTGTTATATGTTTTAATATTATTGGAGAGTTAATTGCAAAATTATATATTTTTAATTAATTAATTATTAATTTTCACGAGTTTATTTAGTACTTTTCGGATTTGCACAATATAAAAATGGAGAATGACGATGATGGACCGTTCGGGGGAGCCCTGAAAATAGGCTCCGAAACAAGCGAAGCAGAGAAAGAGTTTGAGAGAGTAAGTAAAACCATATCTTCTTCTGTTTACGTAAATGTAATACCAATTATCAATTAAAAATAATTGTTGATAATGGAATGATGCACCCACCTTCGCTAAGTATTTACACTGGCGGGGCACCAGTGGAGGATGATAAGATGAATATAAAGTCGCCAATAATTTATCACCACGGTTTACTCGGGAAACCTGGAGTTAATCTCACATGGTAAGTACATTGCAAGCAATGGAGATGTTAGGTCACGTTACTAACAATATCTTCCAATGTATTTATATTATAGCTAGGTGAAACATTTAAAACAAATCATATTAATGCATATCTTATTATTGATAGTTTTTTTGTAATCACTGTAAGTACTGTTACTTGTTACAATGCATTAGCACTAAATTTTTTTATATGTACTTATCAAAATTTTTTAATTACCTAATACGTGCGACGTCTTACGCTAATTAATTTATATAGTCAATTAAATACCAATAAAATTAACTTGCATATTGTGTATTCATTTTCTTCTCCTCCCGTCCAGTTCAGTTTACAAATACAATTGTGAAGAACTCACAACAAAACTCAACTGAATATCTCTTTGTTTAAATCCAATTTGTTAACATTATATACCTTTTATTTCTCGGCGCAAAACCTAATATCCTATGTTATTAGAGAGGTTATAGAGTCCGCGCTACATCTATAGAACCTCCACAACTTTGTACATGATAAGAACATCACCATAGCAACCAAACATACAGCCAACGCACCGTGGTAACAAAACGTATCCTTTTTATTATTATTTTGCTTTTTATAATTTTCACGAGTTTATTTAGTACTTTTCGGATTTGCACAACATAAAAATGGAGAATGACGATGATGGACCGTTCGGGGGAGCCCTGAAAATAGGCTCCGAAACAAGCGAAGCAGAGAAAGAGTTTGAGAGAGTAAGTAAAACCATATCTTCTTCTGTTTACGTAAATGTAATACCAATAATTGAATTGAATTAGTGCTAGTTGGTAGTTTGTATTCACACATTTCAACTTAAATACGTTACAACAACATTATTTAAAATATCAAACGCAAGTTATTCATTCTTCATGTGATGAGACAGCTTTCCGAATGAGCGGTAAATTCGAATTGAAAAACAAAATTGTGGTGACTATTTAAAAGTGCTTCAATGTAAGTCTATTTGAATAAATTATTTTCTATTATTATTCTAATAATAAAGTATACCTTCATGACTGTAATCCCAAATAGTATAGACAGAAGCATTGTCAACAATGCTTCAATCGACATCTTCATCTGTCGGTGAATGTAACATTGCATTTGAATGCTCTTGTCAACTCTTGGATTAATAATAATAATCCTAGACACTTCACACAGCGCTATCTGGTACCAAACTAAGTAGAGCTTTTGTTATTGGTACTAAACTGATATAAATACTTAAATATTTATTTTTTGTAAATATATAGAAAACATCAGATGACAAAGTCAGGCATACAAATGTTTGTATCTTGAGAGAATCGAACCCATAACAATCGGAAGACGGTGATAAACAAACTGTCTTATAACTACTAATGTAGTATCAATTTTTTTTATTTCATTGGCCTAGTGATATATTTATATTAATACTTGAAGCAACTTTGTACTTCATTTTAGGAATATTTTGCGTACGGAGGAGTATGAAATTTCGCACACCTATAAGTTTATATAGAGAAGTGCAGAAAACTAATATATTTTTAAATAAGATAAAAATACATTAAATAAGTAAAAAAAAAACATTACACACATTACCGCGTATTTGAAATCACCAACGTCAACATCACACTTCTAATATTATTTGTCTATGACTATGAAACATAACCATAGTGTAAATGATTTATGATCGAATTTCGACTATTGGACGATAACTAGTGTAATAAAATTTATTCACACATTAATTAACCAGGTTCTAGAAGAAATGAGGGAAGCCGAAGGTCTGAAACTTTACACGGATGTTTACACGAAGCTCTACGACTCCTATTACAAGATGAAAGATGACAACGTGGCCCATGTGCAAGAAATTGACGCCCTTCACGTATGTATGGAAATTAATCTTTACCACAAAAATTATACCACTTTCTGTTCTTTCTTAGTTACAGTTATGTTATCTGTGGTTATAGGGAGTTAGCGTGTACGCGATATGTCCTAAGAAAGTCCTAAATATATCTACAGATAGATACTTGTAGGAATCAGTTTTATTACAGAGTACGGAGGTGTAATTTAGGAATAGCAATGCATCAATGGCAAGGTATCAAGTAAACGACATTTTTTTTTAAATAGGTGTTATTTTGCGGAAGTCCATTACACTGCTTAATGAATTTATAATAGGTACTTTATTTAATTCAGCAAACATTAGCATATATGAGACCACTCATGCATTTACACTGGTAAATGAACGATTCAAGTGAAAGAGCGTGAGGATGATTCTGTCCTCGAACCGACAATGACATAAAGTTTTCCGATCATTTCATATCATACAATTTATGTCGTTATAATCTTTTTTTTGCATATTCGTCCGGTTATCATTAAAATGATGCGTTCTATAAGTCCTTCCGCAGCTTTGAAGTGCCATTTCTACTCGCCCCCTATGGTTCGGTGAAGCTTTCAAGGCTAGCTGCGGCCAAAACATTAGATTTGTTCGAAAAATAAAAAAAAACTGTTTATTCCTGGTAACTCGAATCAACTCGAGTTATGTTTATTACGAGTTAGCACATCTCTAGTGTATGTGTTCTTTTACCCAAAATAAAGTTTTATCATCTAAAGTAATGAAATGAAGTGTAACAATGAGTACTAATTATGTAGACAAAACTACGCCGCTTCGATGACACCGTATCGGATTACCTGGCAGAGATTACAGACTCCCATAAAACTATTGAGAAACTAAGAGCTGATATTGGTAAGTAATACAAGATATGATAATAATAACTGTTTATTGCGCGCATTTATACAAAGAACAATAAGTACAATAAATAAAGACAATAAAAATGTTTTACAACAGGCGGTCTTACTAGTATTCGCAATCTCTTACATAAAATTACATTATATTTATTATAATACCGCTATGGCAACCATTTAACATCAGATGGGACGTATGCTTGTTTGCCAACATCTTATATATAAAATTCTCGTGTCACAATGTTAGTTACCATACTCCTCTGAAACGGCTTGACCGATTTTTATAAAATTTTATATGCATGAATAGGAGGTCTGAGAATCGGCTACTATTTTTTATACCCCTAAATGATAAGGGGTAGTCTACCTCCAACATTTTATTTTTTATTTTTTGTACATTTTTTTTTATTAATATATTTTTTATGTGTCATTAAAAATACATACAACCCTAAATCTATCTATCTATCACCAACCCCCATTTTTTTATAGCGTTATTAATTTATATGGCAAAGCAACATTTGCCGGCACAGCTAGTAGGAGTATAAAACAAAATAGTCGTAAAGTATAGACTAAGTTTCCAAAGCCATGTTATGGAACTCATTTTTTTTTCGCTACCCTTGTCATCAAGATCGGCTAGCTATTTTAGTTAGTGATCTGGCAAGAAATTCAACTTATTGACCTTATCACGGCCCCGGTGGTCTGACGGTTTAGTACATTGTCTTACATCCAATGGTTGCGCGTTCGATTTTTCGCACTGCAAAAACATTTGTATTCATCAATATGATTGTTTGTATTTGGTCTGGGTGTTTTTATGTATATTGTACGGGCAACCGCACATGCCTGCTTACTGTGCAATACACAATTGCCTACACATGCAATTTCACTTCAATACATTTCACCTCATTATATTTATTTTAGTAATAAAAATCAAAAAAGTGTTCGAGTAGCATTCAACCGAGGCGGTTTTATTTAACAAAAACCCCTCATCAATCAATCAATAGCATTATCACGGAACTGTGGGCTTAAACCCCCACATATATTATGTATATACTTTATTGTACTTGCAACATTAAAAATAAAGATATATGTATTTTAAAAAAATCTAGATATATATTTCAGTTCTCTAGTACTCATAACACAAACAAGCTTGTGACTAAAAGGTGCTTCTAACAGTTTGTTACTTCGAATTCTGTAACAAGAGTGCAGCATATTTTTTTTAAATATACAATGTACAAACAGGGCCTTTAATATTTTATTGTATTATAGATCTATCATGAAAATATCTCATTGTAATATAGAGGAAGCTAGAGCGCTAGCCGACGCGATGCACGCAAGGGAGCTGATCAGCGTAGAAAGTCTGGAGACCATGAAGAGAACCGTGACTAGGCTCGAAAAGGAGTTGGATGCAAGGAAACGCGCCGGCGACGAAGATGCGTGAGTGTTTAGACCTTTTTTCACGGTTATTTACTACTAGCTGTCCCCGCTGTTTCACCGGATTAATTTCAATAAAAAATATAGCTTTTGTGGTATTCTCATGCATGAGCTATATTACTGTAAAGTTTTATCAAAATCCGTTCAGTAGTTTTTGCGTGTAAGAGTAATTACTTACAAACTTTCGCGTTTATAATTTTACTAAGATAGACTACTGATTGCACTACTGACAAACACTGGTTTAGTTACTGGTGGCCCGCCCTGGGTTTGTCCGGATATTAAACCGGGTAAATAAATATAACCTGTCTAATTTCAAAGTGGAGCCACATCAGCTGTAAAAGAGAAAGAGAAATTTGAGAAAGAGAAGGCGCGTCTCCAAGGTGAACTAGACGGTGTGAAGCTGAGGCTCTCCAACGCTCTCAAATATGTGGAAGAGTTGGAGAATAAAAATACGGCCGCCGATGAAAATATTGCCAAACTAGAGGAGCAACTTGAGGTAATATAATATAGACATTGGAAAACTTTAAACTTCGTAAATGGTTGGATGTTTGTTACTCTTTCACCGGCCGGGTTATTGGGCTCCCTAAAATATTGTAAACATGTATAATATTAATTTGAAAAGAATACGAGCTGAGTTTCTTGTCAGTTCTTTTCATCACGAAAGCATTCCGTGACTGTAGATTTGACATAGCATAAGAGTCTGTAATAGACCTACATGAATAAAGATATTTTGAATTTGAATTTGGATGGTCGAGCGCAGTGATGGCTGGCTCATCCGTCATACTCGTGAACGAATGCTGTCTATAGGGACTGGTTTGCTCTAATCATAACGACTGATTTACTATTATTTAGTAACTCAACCAATTGGTTGTATATTTAATATTTTCTCTATTTGAGTATTTAATTGAATTAGTGCTAGTTGGAAGTTTGTATTCACATATTTCAACTTAAAAATGTAAAGTAACAACTAAATTCTTTGAAAGAGCAACACGCAAGATTCTTGCTCATTCTTCTGGTCATGAGACAACTTTCCAAACGAGCGGTAAATTGAAAAAAAAATGGGATAACTATTCAAAAGTGCTTCAGTGTTTATTTGAATAAATTATTTGTATTCTATTCTATTTATATCTGGAATTTTAAATAATAATATATTGCAACCATATTAGATTGCGTTATATAATTCAGTTGTACATAACAGTGTAATTATTTGTAGGAAGCAGATAATAACACAGTGCGGCAAAATCGCCTGGTGGATCATCTGAAAAACGAAAGTGTGAGCCTCAAGAACGAAGTGGAGAGTAGAGGCACCACAATTGCAAATCTAAACGAAAGGGTATGTTATACAGATTACGTACATTAATTAAATTACCTTTTTACATAAGTATAAATTCAGGTAATTAAGATTGATTTACTTTCCGGTGATGGACCTGCCGATAACAAACCAAATTAATACGAGAGACGGCGATACATTCACATCCCGTTGTATTTTTTTAAATTAATGATAATGAACATCTATATATGCCGTACTGTACACATATCCCCACATTGTCTTTTAAGTCATGAATAGGACGACTAAGACGTAAACACATACGGAAACTGTTATATATATTTTTTGTTAACTGTAAAAAATATTTTATTATTATATAGTCTAAATATAAGATGATTCTAAGAGCTGTAAAACAATCAAATAACAAAAAACCTTCCGCTGAATAAATGAATTAACAAAATGAAATATCAATCGGATCACATTTGTCAAATTTTTTTTTCGTTGTAAAGTCATTCGGTATACATTTTTAAATCAGTTTTTTGTACACTCGCCTATTCAAATATTCAGGCGACGAAAGCAGAAAAGGCAATTGAACGTCGCGACAAGCAACTCCGTGAGACTGGACACAAGCTAGAAACCGCCCAACAGGAGCAAGAGGCTGCGTCCACCAAAGCCGCCCAATTCAGAGAACAGCTGGAGACCACCAATATAGAGTTTGAAAAGACTAAGCAGAAACTTAACAATACTACAAAGGAGTTAAAGGTAAAATTTTAAAAACTTAGTAATCGCCCCAATTATTAAATAATCAACCATTCGGGTTGAATTTTCAATCATTGGGGCGATTTGAATTTAAACTATAAGTTTTAACATTACTAAAGTTCTACTGTTGAAGATTTATATCCCTTGTGTGTCAAATAATAATGGTAGTGTCTGCAATGTTGTTTTTTTATTTATTTAAAGCAAAATTTTTATACATAGTTAAAAAAAATATTCGCATGCAGAATGCCAGTACTTTTCTAAATTAATCTCCTCTATATAAACTAGTAAGTGTAAGAAAATTCATACTCCTTCGACGGCGCAATATTCGTAAAAATGTGTACAGAATTTTTGATGAATCTATTAATGCTACACCATTAATAGATTACATTTCAGGAGCAAAAGAATTAAACGAACTTACATTAACTAACGTGTATATAATGTATTGTAAGTTACATTAGTAGTATCACGAGCGTCACATGATAACTTGCTGACCATAGTGTTGTTCATGTATATAGGCGACGGTTACCACTTACCATCAGGTTAAACATTAAATTATAAGTTATGCAAATTAAATAAAAAAAACGCGAGTGATATTTAAATAAATATAGAGTACAATTGTTATTAGTAGAATATGATCGACGATGGCAACAGACTTCGCAATGAGGTTTCCAAGTTGACCAAACAGGCTGTGCAGCAGACGAAGAAGTACCAACTGCTTGAAGGAAATAAAGCCAGTGTCGAGTCAGAACGGTACACATTTTTGTTAATTTACTGTATTACAACTAATAATAATAATATTGATGTTAGGTACCTCACTTGAGAACCATACTTGGGAAAAATACTGGCGAAAGCTGAGTAAAATAAATCTTAATAATGATAATTCATTTATTTGTCCTATCAAAGCGAGCCCCATCTATCTAAGACGAATAAAGATCAATTGCCGAATGCGAGTATCAACTACACTTCAAAATGCTATAACTTATTTGTTAATTCTTATTTATTCCTTTATTGGTGATAAAGTTAAAAAGATTGGTTAAATAATATCAAAAGTCCATATAAGGTCACCAATAGGTCTGAAGCTGCACTTAAAAATGTTGTAAAAATTGAGAAAATATAACGCAGAATAAGTTGCGCGGGTCGGCTAGTATAGATAATATAAAGGAGTTCGCAAAGGCCGGTTCACAATATTTTTAATATTCTTTCGTTAACAGAGAACGGCTACGTCAACAAGTGAGTGTAATGGAACGGGAGATAATGCTCGGCAAGAAACAAGCGGAATCTGACAAGAGAGAAATAGAGAATCTGAATAGAGAGAAGGACATACTGAACAAGAATATGCAGAAGATACAAAGTGAGTCTAATTGTCATTGATATCCTATTCTGTCACTAAGTAATCTGTTTTTACTTCAGTTCGGAAACATGACCACCGCTACTGAAAGCGTAACCTTTCCCATTAGTGATCAAATTCCGACATTGAATCTACACCCATACTGTTTGAGATGTAGTCTGATTGCTAACAGTCAAGGAGATGTTTCGAAACTACATATATCCAAACTCTATTAATTGCCTGATAATTCCGCGTTTAGAGGCGAAACCATATTGCAATATACTTAAACCAATATCCAATAATGAACTTAATCACTAACTGGGAAGTACATAACCTTCTAGTAGTAGTGGTCAGGTTTCCGCACTGAATATATGTGGTCTCACACATACAAATAATAGCGGAATTAAACAAAATAATATAAATACATTAGGCAATGAAATGGACTTCCTAAAAATAACAACTAATTTGATAAAATATAATGAGTCTATCTGAAAATATATAGATACAGAACATATAAACCTACGGTCTCGAACGTTCTCCCAGACAGGGTAGTCTGAGGCATTGGTAATTGGAACACTTGAGATGCCCATATTTTGCATTCTAAATGTTTAACCTATTATCTGTGATTTAACTGTGTTGTTTTTAATATAAAACAAACAAAGAGCACTCTTAACACGATGTTGCCAAAAACTCATTTGCTACTAAATAATTATATTGTTAATAATAAAAACCAGACGAAGCAATAGAAAACCTTCAAATGCTACATCTACAAGAACAGCGCCGTAAACAGCTTGAGCACGAGCTGGAATTGAACGCAACGCAGATCAACAAACAGAGACTGCTCATACGACAACTGGAGAAGGACAAAGACAGGTATCCTTCATCCATTATCACACATATCGCAAATTAAAATTTCATCATGACCATCTCCAGGAATGACAGTCCTCCACCGTGCATTTTGAGTGCCATCTGCACTTGACTCCTAACGTTCGGTGAACCTATAAAGGCAAACAGAATTTGAATAGTTAAAAAAGCCGAATGCATATTTCAAATTCATACATTTAAAAATTACTAACAAAATTTAGTTGGAGAAGATCAGAAACTTCCAGAAAATAACGTTTACTTTCCTAAAATGTCGGCAACACACCCGCTAACTTGGATTCTGCTTTAGCCATTACTACTATAAACTATTTTCATATAAAACCAGCTAAATAAATCCCTAATTATTTTAAACAGGATGCTGGAAGAAACAATTGCATTGAACGAGAAAGTCGACGAAATATCAGGTAAGGTTATCAGACGTCGTAAGGTAATAAGTAAATGATTTATCACTTTGTGGTTTAATACATGATTTATATTCTATAATATTACTCCATGGAACATGGGGATATCATTTGAAGATAAAATTCGCTAAATAAACTTAAAAAGATAAACGTTGCAATTTGAATAGTAAAACTCGAAATTTTAACTATTAATATCTATAAGCAGCTGTCCGGTACTGACTTTATAGATGGCCCCTTACGGCAATTAAAGATTTTTTTAAGTTAAAATATGTAGAAATAACCCATAGTATTCCATTCTTCGTCAACCATTTAGCATTATGTGTGTTTAATCTGGGTATAAAATTTTAAATCCTTACTACTTTAGTATACACCCTAATATTGAACGCCATTGTTTCGAAAAAAGTTAATATAGAAAGATAGAATTTAAAACTCTGAGTAATAAGTATTTACATAATGTTTTATTTTATTTCTAATAATATGTAAGTCTTTTAATACCCTGCTAATATTACAAACAGAGGAAATACGTCTCCGTACCGCTGACATCTTGGATTTAAAGAAAGCACTGCGCGAGGAAACGATCAAGACTCGAAAACTGTCAGTAGCGTTAGATGGAACGCGGGCGGAAAGAAATATGCTGCATAAGAACTACACGGAGGCTCTGGACGAAATCCAAGACCTTAAACAGAAACTGAAGGTACACTCAGTATAATAACATAAATTTGATGTATGTTCTTGCGAAGGAGTCGCACCATGACCTAGTTACTATATCCAATTGTGAAATTAAAATCTAGCACCCAGTTAAATGCACCTGAAATTTTCGTGTTATCTAACTGTTTAGGAAGACCTTACACCCCTCCCAAAACTGTAATATAAAATCTACATTCAGTCAATGAAAGAAGTAGACCTGTATATCTAGATTTTTTAATATATACTCGATGCTTCTCTAGGCGTTTTGTTTTATTCTGTTGGTAATAATAAAATATCAAGCTCAAAATGTACTTGTATATAAAAACCTTAATTCAGCCAATGAAAGAAATAGGCTTCACGGGGAGTTTCTTTACATTTTTATGTTATGTACTTACATAAAAAATATTTCAGATGCTAGCATATCAAATTGAGCAGCTAAAAGAAGACATTAGTGGCAAGGAGACAGGTCTGAAGTCTTGTGAGGGTACGCTCGCCAAATGTAACAAGAAAAATGAACAGCTACGGGCAGAGGTGCAGGGCGGACTTGCAAAACTCTCCGAAGCCAGAGCGGACATAGCAGCCCTCAGACAAGAGGAGGCCAGGCTGAATAGAATAGTACAGGTTTGGTAACAAATGCAAAAATCATTTCCAATTTTTTACTTCTTTTTCTCTTTTTTATTTTTGTACACTAAATCTGACGATAGCAATCCCATCCTACCCAAACTAAATAACAAAAAACAATAATCAACTTAACAGAATACGATACCAACCAAAATAATGTCATGTCATGTCTCCTTACCTATTATTACACTGCCTAATCTGCACCTTACAGCAGCAACACATCTTAAACACCAACCTGCTTGGCGGCTAAAATAGGTGAGACCCAGGCAGACTTTGAGAAACTCTCTGGCAAACTCTACAGGAAGGAGATACTGCTCGAGCGAAGCTGATGAAAGAGCTGGAAGGTCTTATGAACGAACGTGACGTGGTGGGAGCACAACTCGTGAGGCGGAACGACGAGATCTCACTCCTGTACGAGAAGATACGAATTTTGGAGGTCACTTTACATAGAGGTGAGGCAACCAGTATTCTGAATATGACCTATTTACAAAAAAATGTTCTCGATTGATGAATAGTTTTTATTTTAATCCTGGACACTTCACATAGTCCATTCCAGTCCAAGTCCAAGGTAACCAGAGCTTGTGTTATGGGTACTGGACAACTATTAAAAATACTTAATTTATTCTATTTATAATAGTGATCTATTTGTAAATATGGCTTAATAATAATAACAATAACTCTGGACAATTCACACAGAATTGTCGAGTTGTTATTAATATTATTTTATCTATACAAATGATCTATTATCATCCAAATGCTATACTATGCAGGAGAGCGTCAATACGAACAGAGAGTAGAAGACATCCGGTTGCTGCGACTAGAGATCATAAGACTACGCAAGGAGAAGAATCTACTGTCCAAGGGAATAGAGAATATGACAGACTTACGGCTCGAGGTAGCTACTCTCTACTTTGTCACTGATTTATTTGATCAGAAATATTATCAAATAGCTACTAGTACTCCCTGTAACTTTATACACGTGTACATTTGTGAAGCGCCATCTATTGATGTTAAAACAAATGACAACGATATCAAAGCCACACATTTTCGCCACATTTTTTCAATTTAAGGTAGCATATTAAAATATTCGCAAAATTAATTATTGCTCCATTTTATTTAAAATTGATTTAGCATGCTACGTCACTTCCAATGGTCGCGGATTCCTCACACGGTACAAACATTAGTATTCATGAGTATAATTGTTTGTATCGGTTTGAGAGATATCATTTGTCTAGTATACATAACAGAATCTCTACTTAGCTTGGGACTACATGGCGTTGTGTGGATTGTGCACAGATATTATTATTATTAAAATTTGATATGAAGATAGGCACGTGTATATATATTTTTTTAAGAAACAAACGAAGTCACGGGTAACAACTAGTCTAATATAATTTTGCATGGTAGAAACTATGAAACGTTGCAATTATTACTTTTAATAAGGTAATTAATTATACAATTAAATATCGTGATTGATGTTAATAACGAGAGTGCTGCGGAGTGATTAAGTTTAATTTTTAACAAATTACCCCATCTATTGTTGCGCTACAACTAATTTGTTGTTGATTTATTGAGGCTGGAGGAGCAACTCGACTGTTTAGCACCACCGGTTTACTTCCGAGGGTCCTCGTACGGTACAAACACTTGTATTCATTATAACTATGATTGTTTGTATCTGTCTGGGTGTTTTCGATGTATATTTTTTATAATGGAGGATAATGGTATGTTGCATTCGTCAGCGCTAACGGTATACGATGGCGGAGCGCCTGTGAAGGATATCATCCTAAGGAATATCCTTCACAGGATATTCCTTAGGATGTGTAGGATGTGTAGGAGTGAAGGATAAGCGGGAAGTTAGACCAGGTAGCCCATCGTGACGAATTTACCAGGAATTAACCTAGATGTCTTCCAGGGGGGACTTATTTACTATTTATTTTCCGTTACTAACAATCCCTTCCCCACTCTACGTATATTAAGTATGTATTTATAAGTATTAATTTATCTAGTACCATTAAACATTAGCTTTTTTATACTACTACTATTGTGGCAAACAAGCATACGGCCCTTCTGATGGTGAATGGTTACCGTAGCCTGTGAACGTCGTAACACCAGGGGTGTAACGTGCGCGTTGCAGACCCTAAAAGCTTTGTTTAGCCTGTGACTAGATGGCGCTGTGTGAAAATATTATTATTATTGTTATTATCCCTTTTCTAAATATCTCGGTTAGTTCTAGGCTCTAGGTTGCTAATTTAATTTCTATTTTCAGGTATTCAATCTTGAGCGAGAACTCGGCCGCGAGAGACTGCGGGTGCGGGCGTTAGAAGAAGCCCTAGAGACACCTTTGAACGTGCACCGCTGGAGGAAACTCCAGGGTACAGACCCTGAGAGCGTGCAGCTTACACAAAAATTGAGAGTGACGCAAAAGTTAGTGGGTTTTTTTTTATGTAATTGGAATCGCTAATAAGCTGACGGCCCGCCTGATAGTAAGCGGTATCCGTCGCCTATGTACACGAATAATACTACGGACATTAAAAAACTTAATGAAATATTATAAAAAAGTATATCTATCCGTTTGTTTGTTACGTTTTTGCGACTAAAGGGATTTTTATCTCTCACAGTACATATGTCATGTCAACAAAGTATATTATGTAAAATGTATTTTAATTGCTATAAAATATATACCTAATATATATTATTAATATTCGCCCGCATGAAATTTAGAGCCTATGTGTTATTCTGATGTGTAAGTTATATTACAGTAAAGTTTCATCCAAATCCGATCAGTAGTTTCTGCATAATAGAGTAACAAACATCGATCCATCGATTCATCCATACTCACAAACTTTTGCGTTTATAAAATGTGTAAGATTCTTTAAAACTAGCTAACCCGGCGCATCTTCATCTGCATCACACTTATCATTATATATCGCCCAATTTACATAATATTGTTTTAAATTGTAACCCATAATGTTTTTCCGATGTATAAGCTATATCACTGTAGAGTTTCAAAGAAATCCGTTCAGTAGTTTTTGCGTGAAAGAGTAAAAACATCCATACTCACAAACTTTTGCCTTCATAATGTTAGTAAGATTATTTAAGACTAGCTGACCCGCGACTTCGTCCGCATGGAATATAACTTTATTTTTCTATAATATAAGATTTTTTCTAAAATAAAAGTAGCCTAAGTTACTTCTTATTACATCAGCTACCTGGCAATAAAAGTCCCGTCAAAATAGATCCAGCCATTTCAGAGATTAGCCGGAAGAAACAGACAGACAAACAAAAATTATAAAAAATGTTATTTTGGTGTATGTACCGTATTTATATTCATATGCATGTAGTAAAAAACGGTTATTTCAATATTACAAACAGACACACCAATTTTATTTATATGTATAGATTATTGATGAACTAGCTGAACAGAAGTGATGGATAGTAAGTAAGTTTGCGTTCAGATAATGTCCATTGCGTGTCCATAGATCTACTCGTGCCAGCGTCATCACAAACTCTAGTGTAATAGCTGACACTAAGCACGGGTCAGATCAATCGGTACATATTTTTTGCATTGTATTGTTATAATCAGTCGCGTAGCCTCGTGAACTTCATTGGTGTTAAGTCGATTGTGACTGCAATAAAAACATGGATTAAGGAATACCGAGGCCACATGACTCAATAAAAACAAAGGATTAATCAAAGACCTTATACCAGAACGAAATGCAAAATACTTTTTTACAGAAATCTAGGTATAATAATAACCCTGGACATACACTGCCACCTAGTCCCAAGTTAAGCAGAACTTGTGTTATGGGTACTAGAGAACTGATAAAAATACTTTGATATTTAGTTTTATTGTAAAGACATAATAGGCATATAAAACACCCAGACGATACATAGAAATAATTATACGCCTAAAGACTAGACAACTGATACAAATCTATGTATTTGTATATTTAATTTTATTGTAAATACATATATACATTATATATATAAAAAACCCTGACCGATTCAAACAATCATACGCATGAATACAAATATTTGTACCGTGCGAGAAATCTAATCCGTGACCATCGGATGTAAAGTGGCGTGCTAAACCACTAGACCACTAAGGCAGTATTTATCGTTACTGTTATATTAAAAAACCGGTTGTTACCAGGAAAGTGCTGGCACAGAGTGAGATGCTGGTGTTAAAAGACCGCGAGTTGAAGGAAACGCGAAATCTCTACACTGCTGTAAAAGACATGCTCGCTTTGCAGCCAAGTCCCGAGATACAGGTATAAATAATAAATTATTCCCTAGTTTCACTCGTTATTTATATTATAATACTAAATACAACGAGTGAAACCATGAGGTTTATACATATACTTGCTACTCGCCCCGGGTTCGCCCGAGTGTACATGTATTACACCTATAAACCTTCCTCTTGAATTACTCTATCTATTAAAAAAAATCCTCAAAATCCGTTGCGTAGTTTTAAAGCTTTATGCATACATAGGGACGAACAGACAGCGACAGTAACTTTGTTTTATACCATGTAATGAAATATCTGCATAAATAAAGGGAAAAATTTATTGGTAACCTGACTTATTAAATTGACAGGTAGAAAATGCCACAATATATTAAGTCCGCTAAATGTACTTTCATCTCTGAACACATCCATTAAAGTTATCTATAAATTAATACGTGAAGCAAAAACTTTGTACCCCATTACGAAAATGCACGGACGAAGGAGTATGAAATGCCGCACGCTCATAGTTTATATAGAGAAAGAGAGCAAAATGCTAATATTTATTTTAATTATGTACAAAAAATACATTAAATCAATAACAAAAATATTAAACACACTACCATGCATTTGACACATACACGCATATATTCTTTTATTTATTGTCAAAGTCTGTGGTCAAATTGAGAAAAGATTGTCTTTAATATTATACATATGTCTTACTGAATGTCAAACAAAAGCATAATAAATTCACTAATTACAATATATTTAAATTATTTATGGCCGAATATCGACTAATGGGCGACCACTAACATAAATAAAAATAAAAATAAATAGAGTAATATGTTATGAGTTAACTTGTAATTTTTTTGTATTATACGTTTTTATTTTCAGCAAACATTAAATCGCACACAAAGGGCGCTAGCGCAACGGACTACGAAGATGAAATGTTTAATAGCGGGTATGTATTCAATAGTAAATCAAGCGTAGGACTATCCACAGATATGTGGAGTAACGACATACGTAGGGTTGCGGGTAATAACTGGAAATAGAGGGGCTAAAGATCGTGCTTTGGGGGAGCCCAAGGCGCGCCACTGAGCACGGGCATCTGCCTATGTACAGCAGTGGGCTAATGATGATGCACTCAATTACTTGTATGTTTAGAGTTCGAGGGACTATTGGGTAACAGAAGAAAACCACCGTGATGGGTAATGTGCTAACTTCAAGGTCATATCATCCATCACTGGTCTACAATAAAAAAAGCTCCCCAATTAATAAAAAAAAGCTCTACAAACATTACTTTTGCAATATACAGTGAATGACTTTTTAGTGAACAGGATTTAACAGCTAAAATATAATAGTTTTAGTTTTATTATACGTCTAGCGTTATTATTAACAATCAGCATTTGATTAAATTTGATTCGTCAGCAAGAAAGTTTATTAATGAATACCACGAGGAAACAGTGGGCATGCCTGTACGCCCGGAGCCAATTTCGTTTCGGGGAAAAATCCCAATAACCCCACGTCTGCGTCACTATAAGGAAACATAGTGTACATTTTTAAATTTATGATCTGGAGATGACGTTAGTAATCAGTGAGTAGGTAATATCAGTTTTAAATCAGGTGGAATGTTGGGGATAATACTTCACTGCTTTAGATAGGTTTATACACAAATTACAACATTATAAGTAGTTAAATCACACCTAATAAATATACATGTTAATAATACCTATGTACATTAGCATTAATTCTGTAAATTGCGCGGATGGAGGAATTTGAAATTTATTACTATACACACTATTTAAATACAATAAATCAAAAACTCACTATGTATTAAACTACATATGTATTTAACACACAAGAATTATAAATTATATAAGAGACAGACGTGCATAGCAAAAAATTTTCATTTTCATTTAATAATGTCGGACATCTAAATATGTAAACAATTCATAAAGGAAATTTCAGTTCTTCTCAACTAAACTGGACGGTAGAGTAAATAAAAAATTGGATGTTCTTAAATGACCAAAATGTCCTACTATATGAATAAATGTTTTTTTTTATTTAATGATAATATATGGCGAAGATAATTATTTATGTACATAGACATAAATAATTATCTTACTATAAAATAAATGTACTTATTAGTTGCTAAGCGTACATTTTGTAAACTCCTGGGCATGTTAAGCATTTTTGTTGATCAAGAGGCAAGTTCTTATGAAGAAAACAACGGTAAAATAATAATATTCAAATAAGCATACAACATTTGGAAATATATAATTGTTGCAGAGCTAAGTATGCGAGAGAAGCAAGTGGCAGATTTCAGACTGGAACTCGACCGAGTCAACAACGAACTGCAGTCGTTCAAACAACGATACTACGAAATAAAAAGAGCTCTGGACGCGGATGAAGCGAGGCGACTTCGTGTACCGTCACCACCACAAACTGTCCAACCCTAAGCTAATGAGGACTGTCTTCACCTCCATTTGTTATTACACTATTTGTATCAATTGTCTAGTATCCAGAAAACAAGCTCTGCTTAGCTTGGGATTAGATGGCGTTGTGTAAAATTGTCCTGAGATATTATTTCTCTTTATTTATTTTAATTATCAAGGAACTACCAGGCAAATATTGTTTATGATACTGAACCGCTTTCGTCTAGAAGCAAGGTGAAATCTAATAATAAATTATATAATTCAAAGTCAAAAGGGTCCTGTGCTGTCACTTAGAAATAAGGTGCCTTTCTGACCGGGTCGGCGCATTTGTTTCCGTATGACACGTTGGTGAAGACTGTCTGTACCGAAATGAGTCAATCGGGAAGCTCTTATTTTAGTTAAAAAAGTGTATACACTTTATATAAAGGGAATTTACCTTCATAGTATTACTTGAGAACAAGACGTTTATTACAGCTCTTAAATGGTAATATCATGTTTATATAGAATCTGTACAGATTCGACCGATGGGATCAGTCGCCTAAGCATGCAAGGTGTAACTGAAAATTAACAATTAACACAAAGACAATTCTTTATTTTGAGATATTACTGTTTAGTGCTTCATATTATGATAGACGTAAATCCACCGTAACATCATACCACTAACCTGATTTTATTTGAAATTTTCCATGGAGATGCCATTTTTCTGTATATATTACTTTATAGTATGTATAGTAATATATTCCTTTTGGCAGTTTCGTTACGCGATTTTTTAATCTATCCACACATCTTACGAAAACCATGAGTACAGTAACCTTTTCACTAATTAATAACAATTGTTTGTTTAGCCATATCTATTTTCCCTTAATTCACGAGAACTAATATCAAGATACCAAATCGGGTACGCTATACAGATTTTATGGCAAAGTACCCACTTTTATTATTTACTAGATTTTGCGTTCTGTTATAACCCAGTATATTCAGATAATGAATGGATCTCAAAAGGAGTATTAAATGTAGCTCAGTATTAAAAATACAGTTATATATTTGTTTATATTATATATCAATTATAATGGAGAAACTAGAAACCGATTTTTTTAATTTTCACAGTACATTTCATATTCTATCAGAAAGCGTATTGTACCCTTTCTAAGAATTTTGAGAATATCAGAGATTATTGCTGATGGTAATATAGTTATATGTCATGAATTAAATAATAAAGATGTTGTATGTGTCAATATAAATGTGTTCAAATTTACTTGTAATTTATCTACATGTTAGTGTTAATATTTATTTTTATATTATATATATTTTGTACAAAATGTATAATTATGGTCTAAATATTTTTTAGATATATTACTTGTTGTGCCAACTTGTTGTTCATGTTGTGCCAACTGATATCTCAACAGGCCCTAATTTTGAGTGAGGTGTATGTGTTGCAGTGATCTCATATTAATTATTATTGTTTGTGTATTTGTACCATTTGCCACTGCTAAACAAGGGCGAATCAAATAAAATAAAACACAAAAAGTAATTAATCCGAAAACAATAGTTTTATTTAAGAACTTTTTCACTTTCTCATAAAATATACACATTGTTTTTGTCATTAAACTAAACTGTAAGTAAATACTAATTTTAAATACCGATGTTCACGATTTTAAAACAGGTGGTTATTAGGTAACGCGCCCATTTGTGGTGTTCATGTACAAATTCGTCACTTAAACTCTATTTAGAAAAAAAAAATATATAATCAAAGAAAGCATGATTTTGTACATTTCGTAATAAAAAAAAAAATCTCGAAGACCTCCTGTTTTCTCGTTAACAAAATGTGATGATAGAATTCTACTACAGTCCATTGTTTGATACTTAAAAATAAGTTCGTATGCATGCGGGTGTGGATCTTGGACCTGAGGTGACTTATCGAGCATGAAATGCGATCAAATGCTTCACGGGATGTTCTCACGCTGTGCGGACGTGACTTCACCGTCCTGCGCACCACGCCCGTCACGCCCGCTACAATGTGACGCCACCGTACCACTGGTCACACTAGTCTCGCCGGCACACATCGGCCCGCGACTGTACACGCACTTTACATATAACAGTATTTATATATAGCTGTCCCATCTTAGGAAATACAAACACAGAATCAACTATCGCTCGATAACGCACCGTTTGCATTGAGACGCGTCTACACGTACAAAAAAATCCTCATACAAAATTACCCTTAATTAAAACGAATCTCTTGAATCACACATTTTATACTTTCCTAGTATTCAACCAACCACACACACGTAAAGTTTTTGAAGCGTTAGCGACGATAGCGTTTACTAGCCTTTATTCGCGTTTACTCATCGTTTATTTATAAGTTTTTGCTGTTGATGTAATTTTTTTATTGTCAAATGATAACCTGAGCACATTGGTTCGCGAGCGAGCTTGCTTGCATGCCGAGCCGAGTCTCCGTGGGGAACAGAACGTTAGAAGCTACGACGACACCTGTCTGCACCGGCGCCTCAATGCAAATGACGCACACATTATATATCACTCGTTGGCTTACGATTTAGGTACTTATGACATATTTGCGTGGAATCAATAAAACTATTGTTTGTATGTTTGTTTAGTCGCTCGGCGTACGGTACTGTAACGTAGCGTATTGTCGTCGCCTAGTGGACGTCGGAGCTCTCCTTACTGAGCTGGTGATTCGCCGGGTCCGAGGTGTTCATTGGCTGTGGACAAAAACATTAAGATAAAGTAACATCTATGACAGCTATTTGGATAAAAAGACACGAAGGTTCGACAGTAGACAAAATTTTGTCCGTGATGATTATTTTACATTTTTACACAATAACAAATCTAAGACCTAGATAATCTTCCACACACGTTTTAAACCATTGCTGAAAATAATTCACATTACGAACATACCCTTTCACTTAACTTGGAACTAGATAGTTCTGTGTGAATTCTTTTGAAATATTATGACAAACTCGAACCATTGGTTTTGCGATGAGATACTGCATCTCTATGCATTTTCAACAGAATATATCGAAGAATGTTCTGAGGAATTGTTCTGATCAAAACCAGCTACTGTTTTTCCTCATTACACTACACTTTACCCTTTTTTCCCCGCCGTTGATGCCCTCGCTGTAGGTGGCGGGCGGCGTGTGTGGCGGGTGTGGCGGGTGTGGCGGGCGTGGTGTGTCCGTACGTACCAGTGTGATGGGCGGCTGCTGCTGCGGCGGCGGCGCGGGCTGCGGCGGCAGCGCGGGCGGCTCGTGCACGGCGGTGGTGGAGTGCGCGGCCTGCGCGCCGGCGCCGTAGTAGCCGCCGTTGATGCCCTCGCTGTAGGTGGCGGGCGGCGTGTGTGGCGGGTGTGGCGGGCGTGGTGTGTCCGTACGTACCAGTGTGATGGGCGGCTGCTGCTGCGGCGGCGGCGCGGGCTGCGGCGGCAGCGCGGGCGGCTCGTGCACGGCGGTGGTGGAGTGCGCGGCCTGCGCGCCGGCGCCGTAGTAGCCGCCGTTGATGCCCTCGCTGTAGGTGGCGGGCGGCGTGTGTGGCGGGTGTGGCGGGTGTGGCGGGCGTGGTGTGTCCGTACGTACCAGTGTGATGGGCGGCTGCTGCTGCGGCGGCGGCGCGGGCTGCGGCGGCAGCGCGGGCGGCTCGTGCACGGCGGTGGTGGAGTGCGCGGCCTGCGCGCCGGCGCCGTAGTAGCCGCCGTTGATGCCCTCGCTGTAGGTGGCGGGCGGCGTGTGTGGCGGGTGTGGCGTTGATGGGTGTGGCGGGCGTGGTGTGTCCGTACGTACCAGTGTGATGGGCGGCTGCTGCTGCGGCGGCGGCGCGGGCTGCGGCGGCAGCGCGGGCGGCTCGTGCACGGCGGTGGTGGAGTGCGCGGCCTGCGCGCCGGCGCCGTAGTAGCCGCCGTTGATGCCCTCGCTGTAGGTGGCGGGCGGCGTGTGTGGCGGGTGTGGCGGGCGTGGTGTGTCCGTACGTACCAGTGTGATGGGCGGCTGCTGCTGCGGCGGCGGCGCGGGCTGCGGCGGCAGCGCGGGCGGCTCGTGCACGGCGGTGGTGGAGTGCGCGGCCTGCGCGCCGGCGCCGTAGTAGCCGCCGTTGATGCCCTCGCTGTAGGTGGCGGGCGGCGTGTGTGTGTGGCGGGTGTGGCGGGCGTGGTGTGTCCGTACGTACCAGTGTGATGGGCGGCTGCTGCTGCGGCGGCGGCGCGGGCTGCGGCGGCAGCGCGGGCGGCTCGTGCACGGCGGTGGTGGAGTGCGCGGCCTGCGCGCCGGCGCCGTAGTAGCCGCCGTTGATGCCCTCGCTGTAGGTGGCGGGCGGCGTGTGTGGCGGGTGTGGCGGGCGTGGTGTGTCCGTACGTACCAGTGTGATGGGCGGCTGCTGCTGCGGCGGCGGCGCGGGCTGCGGCGGCAGCGTAGCTCGTGCACGGCGGTGGTGGAGTGCGCGGCCGCGAGCGCCGTTGATGCCCTCGCTGTAGGTGGCGGGCGGCGTGTGTGGCGGGTGTGGCGGGTGTGGCGGGCGTGGTGTGCGCGATGGGCGGCTGCTGCTGCGGCGGCGGCGCGGGCTGCGGCGGCAGCGCGGGCGGCGCGCGCGGCCTGCGCGCCGGCGCCGTAGTAGCCGCCGTTGATGCCCTCGCTGTAGGTGGCGGGCGGCGTGTGTGGCGGGTGTGGCGGGTGTGGCGGGCGTGGTGTGTCCGTACGTACCAGTGTGATGGGCGGCTGCTGCCGCGGCTCCGGCGGTGGTGGAGTGCGCGGCCTGCGCGCCGGCGCCGTAGTAGCCGCCGTTGATGCCCTCGCTGTAGGTGGCGGGCGGCGGCGCGGGCTGCGCCAGCGGCGCCGCGGGCAGGACCGACGCGCCGCCCACGCCGCCCACGCCGCCCACTCCGCCTACGCCGCCCACGCTGCCTCCCAGGAAGTAGTCCTGCGTCACGACCGCACGACGTTATTACACAGTCCAAGTATAAGTGTACTTCGATATCATAAAATTTCACTCATAGTTACAACATTTATAAAATGGAATTGATTTTAATGATCGGTATGCTATTTCATCGATTGAAAGGAGTATTCAATAACATTGATCATAGAATATAATAATAATAAATTAAAATAAACGAAATAAAATTATAATTGAATGATACTATAATTAGCAGTTCTATATGCAGCAACATGTTTTAAATAACAATAACAAAGAAACAATACCTAATGTATATTGGTATTATTCACAAAAATGTTATGAATAATGCAACGATAATGAATCACGATTAAATTTGACAAATTTATTAATTTTCTACTAACCCGCACTATCTTTGCATGGGTACATTCATATCTTAGAATTTAACATTTTATAATATATTATAATTAGTTTATCCATCACAAATATCTGCATTGAACTCTGTTGTATAATGTAAAGGCACATTAAGCGATTCTTAACTTTCCACTGAGTACTGTAGGATTACTAACAGATACTGTGCTATTCTATCAAAACACTACGCCATATAATTGATGTGTGAGTGTGTGAGATTTATCCAGCTAAAGAACTTATTAGTAGAATTAATACTAAAGCACTCAGCTGATAAATGAAGGATGAGGTATGTAGGTATAAAATGGGTGTGGAGGCGGTACGGATGTGGTGTCCGGTACCTTGTTGACGCAGTTGCGCAGGCAGTCCGGTATGCGGCCGACGATGGCGCGCCGTATCTCGGAGGCGGCCATCTCTCGCAGCTCCTGCGCGGACGCGTCCGAGTAGAACGCAGCGTGCGGCGTGCACAGCACGTTCGGCGCGTCCTTTAACGGACCCTGCGGACCCACACGATACATTCATATCTTAATACATATGAAGCAAAAACATTATACACCCTTTTATGAAAATCTTATAGTTCGTTTACTTACATAGAGGAGTTCAGAATGCTAATATTTTTTGTTTACATTATGCAAGCAAAATACAGTAAAACTTGGATAATTAAGAAACCTCTATCATTGAGAGTCATTTCCCTGTATAAGTGAGAAAAATTAATCTGATTGGGAAAGGTTTTGACACGTTTGTATACAAACATTTGAATGTGTTTTGCATAGGCTTTGTTTGTCAGTGTTATTTGAGGTTTTTTCACCTCTAAAAATGGAATAACCGTACATATCGACCTCAATAAGCGGGAGCCTCCGTAAATGAGACAACTATAATTTTAAAATTGCTTAATTGGAAAACTGAATTAATGGAAACCTATAATTAGTACATATTTCTTAGCCTTTGAGATCCCAATTAACCAGGTTTCACTGTACATTAAATCAATAAAAAAAACATTACACAAATTACCATGTATATGCCATATATACTCTTTTGTACATTTACATTATATTTTTGTATAGTCTGTAATCAAATTGAGAATAGATTAATAATATTAGAATTAAAATAATTCATACCTGGAACACGTTGAAGGGCTCGTTCTCGTGCACATCTAGTGCGGCGGCGCGGATTCGACCCTGCTTGAGTGCTGCTGCTAGCCCCTCGTCGTCCACCAGGCCGCCGCGCGCCGTGTTCACCAGGAACGCGCCTGCAACCGTACCAATACATATCGTGAGCTATCGTTGTTAGTCAAGTAGCTATTTCTTTAATATCTTACTTTTATAAACGTAAAGCTTAAACAAGATTTTGTTTAAAAAACAGTAAATATAGATAGACAAAAATAATCTTCATTCTAATAAACTTAATAGAAAGCAATTTTGTATTTTTTTAACAATATTTCATTTTACATTTTGTATGTGTCTATGTGCAAATCTACCAATAAAAACAAACAAATAGCATCAATTCACAAAAGTAAAAGAATAAATAATTTGTTACTTGAGTAAGTAAAATAAATCATAGTAAGTACAGTCCTAGTATAAGCTGGAATGAACTCAATATGTGTATGTAATAACTTATAACGAATATTGACAGCAGGTCAGTGACATGTTAATAAACGCAAAACATGTACACATTGCATTGGGTAATGTTTAACGTAATTTTCCTTTAGGGCAGAGCCTTTTTTATACCACGATGGTGTCAACCAAGCTTACGTCCCATCTAATGGTAAACAGTTACTGTAACCTATGGACATCTGAAACACCAGAGATATCAGAACGCGTTGCCGACCTTAAAATTTTGACATGCTGTTTGTTGATTTGATTTTAGTTTCTGCTAAAATGAGTTTGAGTTTGAGACTAATAATAATGCTAAACTGTACTAAAACTAAAGTGTAAATGAAGTAATTATGTGTATACACAGATAATGTAATAGTAAATTTGTACAACATACCTGGACGCATTTGTTTAATAGTAAATTCATTGATGAGGTGATGATTGTGTTCGTTTAAACTGCAGTGCAGTGATACACAATCACTCTGGAATAGAAGGTCCTGAAATCATAAAATAATTATAGGTTAATTTTACCTTATTAATATTATGAACGCGAAAGTTTGTACAGATGGATGCTTGGTACTCTTTTACACACTGAACGTATTTTGATGGAACTTTTCAGTAATATAGCTTATACATCAGAATAACATATACGCTATAAAATACACGCGGGTGAAACCGCGGACACGGCTAGTATATCAATACTTTGTTACTGCAAGTAATATTTACTTAATATCAAAGTTTCAACAAAAATCAAAATAAAATTAATGTGCTTTATCAATATTTTTTTTACAACCGGAGTGGCAAATAATTTGATAACCCACCTAATGGTATATCGTAACCATCGCCTATATACATGTACAGCATCACGGATATTGTCATGTAACCCTCATACTTTAGAATTCAGAGGAGTAAACTATCATGCCTTTATCTTACTGCAATATCCAATCGAAACAGCTTACAAGGCAATTTGGTTGTTGCTGGAGTAGTTTAGTCAGAATAAAATAAGTATAGAATAAAAATTATAATGTTTTTGTTTTTATTCAAATAAATTTACACTTAAGCACTTGTAGTCATTACTTATTTCATTAATCTACTGCTCATTTGGAAAGCTGTGTCATCACAAGAAACTTGCGTATTGCTCTTTATCAGAGGTGTATCAACACAGACTACTTTGTACGTAGTTTAAATCAAAATTACCTGCAAGGTATAAACCCTGGTGAGCCCGAGCGACTTCTCGATGCCGTCGGGCAAGTAGGGGTCGTAGAAGATAACGTTGAAGCCGAAGGCCTTCGCGCGCAACGCGACCGCCGAGCCGATGCGGCCCAGGCCCACGATGCCCAGTGTGTCCCCGCGGATGCGAGCGCAGCCGGCCGCCGCCTCGCGGACCTGTTCCGGACCTGGAAATATCGTACCAAACGTATATTAATACTTTATTTAAAGAGAGCGTCGTGACCCAGTGGGCTGTTATCCGAAGGCATAGACTAAAGTGTCGTGAGTCCGTAACCATCTGATTGAATAAAACTTAACCTTATATTAATAAATTTATATTTATGACTGATAAAAACTTGTGTGTTAATAAAGGAATCACCCCAAGTTGTATTAAAATATAACCTGCGAAATGTGGGAGTCAATTGATAATGCCTCTGTCTATTTCATCTGGATCTATACGCCTCGACTGTTACAATCGAGGCTTATATAGTAACATATACTGTAAACATACATTGCTACTTTATCGAAAACATTAATATATAACTAGTACACTACATTTATTATACAGTAGACTCGCATGCCTATATCGTAACTGATGACTGACTTAAGTACACACTTTCTAAATGCACTTGGATACTTTGTTCCCAATTCGTCTACAAGTTATGAAACTTAAACATGACAAAAAAGAAGCCAAGGGAAATCATTCTACAATTAATTGTAGTGACACGCTGCGGCACCAGCTGAGTGGAAACCTTTTCAGCATAGACGATTATTAGTTTTTAAGTTTTCTTTTTTACTCTGTACTCTTTTTTATGCTGAATAAATGATTATTATTATTTTATTTATACTCTTTATTGCACCAATTACAGAACAAAAACAAAAAAAAACAATTAAAATGGAAAATATACACTGATACAAAAGGCGGTCTTATCGCTAAGCAATTATTATTATTAATTGCTTCAGTTATCATTTTATTTCTAGTTTCACATCCCTTTACTTCTTTGAATTTTCTAATAAACGTTATCTTCGCATTAAGAGACTTGACTTCATGCTCATCCTTTCTCCGCTGATATCCCGTTAGAGTTAGTGCAGGCGGTTGCGTCATTCTACATAACCACCCATATAAACAAAATACTGCATCTTGGCATTAACAAATTACCTGTGAATTTTTTCCCTTCCCGCACCATGTTGGCGAGCCAGTACGTCCGCCGGTACAAATTCAATATGAGACACATCGTCGTGTCCGCTACTTCCTCCACGCCGTAACCCGGCACATTACATACAGCTATGCCTGAAATAAACATAAAAGTACACATTATTAATCAATATAACTTACACGGGTTACACACAATTGAACAGAGTTAAACCTTATACAATATCTGTTTAATAATAGAAATAGCTTAATTCTACCGCTCGTTCTGATTCATCCAAAAAAAAATTTTTTTAATACAAACTGTAAAACAGTAATTTTAGGTTTAAGAGTATTATTATAGCTACTTAAGTAACAAAATACTGATCAAACACCACCTCACTCTCTTGTATAACGGATGAGAATATCTTAGTAAATCAGGTCAAGTTGACCTCCACGCGGTTCCCCCTGGAAACCATAGTTTTAAATTCCTCGTGAATTTGTCACTATGGGCTAACTGACCTGACCTCATTGCTCATCTGGTGCATCATCTTATCATCCTCCACTGATGTGTCGCCAGCGTAAACCGTTAGCGCAGGCGGGAGCACTATTCCATTATCATCATTAAAAAAACAATCACGGAAACACCTCAACCGAAACATAGCTTACAAATGCAAACTGAGTGAGACTGGGTTATCTCAGATGAAAGCCTATCTCTATAATATTATCTGTCATAACAATTTGATACTCAGTAATGACATCCCATACGAGGCTTAATCTATTTTGTGACATCCTTAGAGCTGTTCATATAATAAATAAAATTCTGTTATCATTTTCATCAGGTAAGCCGTCAAGTTGTTTGTCATTCCAATTATATTAAAAAAAAACACGGCTGACATTTGTCGCAGTCACAATTCCGTAATTTTCATCCACTCGGGCGTGGGCGTGCGCACATTATAACATGACTAAGCATATTCCATTAGAATTGACGTGAGTTGATAACAGTGACACCATTGTCACGTGGCCTGACAAACTCTCACAAATACGAAAATTTTCAATACCTCTCATCTCATCATTATCATCAATCAACAAATGATGAATACTCGCAAATGAATAAATGATTAATTATCTGTATGTCATCAGTCATTCACACAATTTTAATCTTGCGATAGTGCCTTAACATATCAAATGAAATGGAATTATCAATTACTTCTAGATATATAACGGTTAAGGTGACCTTTGTGCCGTTGTAATGTAATTGAATGTATTAATTAATGAAGATTTCATAAGTGTTGTTGTTGTGTTATTGGAATGGACAATACAAGCTGACGACTCATCTGATCGTATGCGATAAAGTCGCTAATAAACATAAACTGCACCACACACATCGCGTTACCATCTAACAAACCACTGTTATACCACTCATGCGTTGTCATTTCAAATAACTAAGATATCATGCCTTTTATCTCCATTTGACGAACTCGGTGGTCTAGCGGTAAGCACACCGCTTTACGTCCGATAGTCGCGGGTTCGATTCTTCGCACGGCACAAACATTTGTATTCATGAGCATGATTGTTTGTTTTCTATGTATAATATGTATGTAATTACGAAAAAAAATACCTATATATTTGTATCAGTTATTTAGTACCCATAACACAAGCTTTAAGTAGCTTAACTTCGGTCTAGATGGCGCTGTGTAAATAGTCCTGAGATTATTATGATTATTATTATTATCATCCTGTAAGTTCACTGTCTAACCTGCACATTTCAACCGAAACACAGCTTACAAAGCAAGCTGTTTGGCATCTTAAATATCTCAGGTCCACATGCATACTACTTTTTACACTCTATCTCAGGTAAATTTCTCGTTATAAAACCCATCATAAAATTCAGATGATAGTAACAATATATCAACTGCTTATTTTTATTTATTTAATGATTTTCTTCCTTTTATTTTTTTCTTGTTACACTGACTAATTAAAGAACAGAAACTTTCTCACCATTGTCTAACAAGACATCGTCTATAGTAGTCATGTAAATGTATATTTAATAGTTCTGGCTTGTAATAACTCATTAACTTCTCCTTAACTTTGTCAGTAGCAAACTTCTAGAAACTTTGAACTATTACCAGTACAGTACAGTGGACACTGTTCATATCTTATTAATTTATACATGACTTGGAAGTTTGAAACAACTAACGACACCTCGGAAGGTTTCAACCTAGACGTTCTATGTTATACCTACGCGTGGACGAGCATTATTCACGAACTATGTAAACACGGTATCCACTGAATACCAGCGCTGTGGCAATTAAATTTTCCAAGTGTAATATGGCCAAGGGAATTAATTGTAAAATTACCATTAGCGGAAAATAAACATGATTATCATTTTTTCATGGAATCCATTCAGTTTAGTAATCACTTGGGCGAGAGCGTAGACACAAGCAGTTCATTAAAAAAAATGATTGGCAATCAGACATAACCAGCGCTGTTTACTTTATTTTAAATCCGTCTATATTTTGTACCCAGTCATTTGACGTAGTAGGTATGACATACTCTATTATTTAAAACTGGAACTAGGTCTGCAGCAAGTAAGCTGCTTTATATCAGAATCTAAATGACTATGTAATTTAAACAGATTGCCTTAAAAATAGAGACACTTAGAGAATTATTAGAAATTAAATTCGTCACTCACAAACTTCACAATAATTTCGTCATATCCGTGTCACTCTTTACGTCTATACTAACGGTTACCACTTTCCACAAAGCAGACAATCAATTTGCATTCCAGTTCATAATAAAAACACAAAAATAATATGTACTCACCTAATTCTCCAGCGGCTTTGACATCAATGTTGTCGACCCCGGAGCCTATGCGCACTATAATCCTCAAGGTCTTGAACTTCTCTAGGTCCTCCTTGGTGAGTATGATCGTGTGCCACATTAGCGCACCCACCGCCTCGTTCAGCACTTTCTCGTGGATCTCCGACGTGGACTGCGCGTCGCAGAACGCAACCGTGGCCACGTCCTTCAGTATCGGCATCTCGACCGTGCAGTCCCGTCCGTCTAGTAATGCAACTAGGGGCCTGGAATAGAAAATATCAAACGGGTTATTACACAACGGTATCAAATCAAATCAAGTCAAAATATCTTTATTCATCTAGGTCTATTACAGACTCTTATGATATGTCAAATATACCGTCAATTAGGAATGCTTTCGAGATGAGAACTTACAAGAATCTCAGCTCGTATTCTTTTTAAACACGGTTGTACAAACTTACGATAAAACAAAATCATTTTTAAATTCAGTTTTGGGAGAATATAGTGACCACCAGCATATGCCATTGCAATTTTGTCAAATGCAAATACTATAACTCTGATGTTCAAAACTGAAACATAAAGACGTAGACCAAAAGTTTTCGTATACTAGATTCAATCAAAATAATTCTGTTTACAATAACTAATATTTGCTAAGGATGAATTTTTATCTTTGTATATACATTTATAAAACTCAATCCAAGAGCTTCGTATTATACTATTTCGACCTTTTTTAGACCGTTGGTCAGTCTATTGTAACATTCTGTCTACACACTGACATCCAGGAACGTGAAACGTTATCAGCTTCGAGCCAGTTTTAATTCGTGTCTCAGTAAATAATCTTCAAACAGTAGGCAATATAAACGCAAATAAAACTGATAAGATCAAACAATGAAATCATAATGTCGTTCGACCTTCGCCATATATACTATACTTGTTAAACATTGTACCTCATTATCTGGAATCGTACAAGTAGTTGGCATTATTAAACCTGTAGTAAAACAGTAGGTATGAAGCAAATGCCAATATATAAATAGATATGTACTTGTTTGATTGTGATATTAAAAGATTATATATTTTAGAACTGTGACGTCTGCACTACCTACCAGTTTCTGCTATACGACCTATATGTCAAATTTCATAGTGATGGTAATCAACAAACTATGTCACTTTTGTATCTATAATATTAGGATGAAATGTATAATAAAAATACACTTTCTTCAATTTAACGTGTCTTCGTAGGAAACAGTAAGGCTTTAAAATTCGAAAAAAGGAAGACAATATTAAATTAATAAACACCTCGAACGACAATTTAGATAAACAGTTATGCCGTATGGCTATCATAAAAAAAATTATCATCAAGCAAATACTCTCGACTTTTCCTAGAAGTATGTATTGCTTCTCGATATATAATTTAATATATCGTATTATCAAAAATACAATATAAACTATTCTAAAGTCATTGAAGATATTTGAAAACTTTATAATAACATTAATAATGTATCAGCTTCAGCTGCGTGTAATAATAAATTAATCATAATTATTAAATTACTATAACATGATTTCGGTAGGTGTAACATCCTTATTACGGTAGCAAACAATTTACATACTGATTCACTACATTATAATTTCATGTGCAAAAAACTGAATAGCCTGCCTTGTTCAATTTCAGTTACCAAAAATAAATTTATGATTAATGTTTGCTATGTAAATAATTTGTGTTTATAAGAACATACGTTAGGGTTCCGAATCATGTTACAACGAGAATTTAGTCCTTTTTTTGTTTTAATTAAAAACTTTTATTAGTTTGACTTTAGAATAAAAACATAACAGTCAATTTCTTATACGTTTTTCATAGAAAACATTTGAAGATATTTCGAGAACAAATTGAGTAAACACAACATTTATTGATTGTACAAAGTTGCTCGGGGCAGGTAATATTAGTATAAAATACATAAAACTAGCCAGTACAAAATACAATATCTATAATTTATTTTAAACTTTATGCTTCTAAATATAAAATCTAAATTTGTTCTTAAGCTTTCAGTAGTGTAGTAGCGAAGCAGACTGTAGACGGTAACCTAGCCGCGAAACACCGAACTGTTTCCACGTGGTTTTTGTGTCGCTGACCGCGCCGTGCCGCGCCGCGCCAGGCAACGTGTGCCAAGGTTGTGCATTGATAAACACTCGATTACCTACAGGTTATGTAAATAAATATGTATAACACGTAACACTGCTGCACAGGTGACCAACGAACGTATATTTTCAAGAACGAATATAATATTAGGATCTAATAGAAATATTTGATACAAAATATACATTTTTTTTTTAAGATGAAAAATGGTAAACGTCATATACAAAAATACACAATGAACACAAAATTCACTGCATCTGATTTGTTGGGTTGCTTGCATATATTAGTCTAGAAGTTACAACGTATAATTAGCATAAATTGGAAATTGATATCAATTGAAATCTGAATTCATTTCTTAACTTCAGAAACTTCCAAAAATGTTCTACAAGTACAGAAAAAAGTATTAAAATTGAATCGAGTGTCGGTAAATTTTGAATTCGACACTTCTAATTTAACAGTTAGTATACTAAAACACTAATCTACTCTGCAACGATAAATTGAAAATAAGTTACATTAATAATAATCGTTCATATAGTAGTTCTGATTCAATCGAGTATATACCAAAACTTTGAGCGTTGACATCAACCAGTGCAAACCGGATCTTTGCTTGACACGACTACATATACATTAACCTCATAAATATAGATTTATATAGTCTGCGCAAATATCTCAATTCACAAACAAGCTATATCGACAAACACATATGTATATTGACAAACAAACACTATTTCGCATCAAACCTGTTCAAAAATTTTAGTCGAATAAAATATTCGGTTTAAGTTTGAAGTTTCTTAATTTAAGAGCGTTGAACCTAAAAGACTCAAGTAGACAACATCTACGATATATTTGCAGTACATATTTAGCAATTAACACAAGCGACGGGACAATTTAAATCGATTATATCCAAATACAAACTGACAATCAAATTGAGTAAAATCAAATAATCTTGGACTCTCACGACAAAGTGAACCAATCATGGGACAGCGTCGTAGCGGGTCCACCCTGCGTCGCCTATAACTCTCCTATAATTAAAGCACGCCAGTGCGATTAAACTAATAATTTAAACTTTCGTCATAGCGGAGCAGAATTATTATTATTGCCGGCAAAAGTTTCAGCAGTGAAACGAGAAAGTAATTCCGAACGGTGAAGGAGTTTTCAGAAATTCCAAACTTTCCCGGGGCAGACGAAAACAGATTTGGTGGCAAACAAAGAGGCCGCTATCGGCCGAGGTGGGAGAGGGGACGTGGGGGCGCACGGGGAACGAGAGGATGCCACGTAGAAGGGGACAACCCCTTCGGGCAAGTTTTGATGGAAACCAAATAGGATTAGCGCGAGAAAAGAATAAGTGGAGTGAACCCAATAGAGGTTGGACGTCGCTTTGTTAACTTGCCGCCTTCTCCCGACAAGAATGTGAATTACCGGGACCGAATAGATTATGATCCCTGTTAAAATGTTTGCAAGTACAACAAAAGTATCCACTCTGGGCATATTTACGAAAGCAATGAATAATTAAGAATAAAAGGCTACGGTTTGATTAGTTTAATAACGTATTATTTACCATAATTATGTAAGACGTACAACTATTACTATTCATAAAACTCTATTATTAAACAGTATTAAATAGGTATATATTTCAATTTCTAAAAAACTATTAACTACAGCTAAATGAATTAGGTTGGGAAAATGCATTTAACTGTCTACTGGAACAGGAATGTTTTTATTAAATCCCATTTTGTAAAAAATATTGGTAATAAATAACGCTCCTTAAAGAATTCTTATTAGTGATCAATCTTCCGATGTTAGCAAAGTTTATACCCATAACACGACACCTGTTTCGCTTCTAAGTAAGGTATCATAAGACAGTTAATATTATAGATCGGAGTTTGAAAGTCTAATGTCTTTCGCACGAGAGGGACCGGATTGCTAGTAATGGAGTTCCCATTAGTCTATAACTAACAATGAATCTCGTCTCCGTAATTGGAATGTTTACCGATCAAATCAAAACAACATACGTACAGCGGGTTGATATCTGAATTAGCTCGTTAAGGTATTGTATAACACCCACATAAATCTCTTTCTCTTATAATGAAATCAATGTGATCTGATTTTTTTATGGATTTGTTTATAATAAAATAATACAATGAAATGCCCACCTTGATTGCAGGGGTCCGTTTGCAATGGGACCCCGCATGCTATCCATACGCGCTCTCTTTGGCAGCATCTTGCGTTTGTCCATTTAAAGCGGCAGAGCCGCTTTAGTCACCGCTCCGCAGCGCGTCACCTGCAACAACGCAATATAAGACTTTATTAAATGAAATTAAAACATATTTTAAGCTACTTAAAATTATTCAGCACCTGACGGTCCATCAGATGAAATGTGATATCCGTGCTCTATCTACATTAAAGCACCATAAAAGGTATAAAAATATATTTCTTCAAATAGATTACCTTAGAAATAAAGAAAGAATGATAAATGGTCTATTCAAAAGTGCTTAAATTAAGATCATTTGAATAAATGATTCTCTATTCTACACCTATGGTAAATCAAAACTACTATCAGGGGGAAATGTAGTTTCATACAAACTCGAATAACAACAACTCTTAACAACAAATTACTCTACTATATTCTGCGTTGCCATTCCTGAATTCCTGTGAATGTGTCTATGACGTGAATAGCTAGTTGTACAATATATTTAGAAGTATTGTAGGTGTACATGTAATTATTCGTATGTTGAACAAGGCATTTGAATTGATTAACTAGTAACACCCACCAACATGTAAAACTTATTACATATACATTACTACTAACACGCCAAATCGAATACACAGAATTATGCACTAGATATGATATCCAATCAGAGCTGTATTAAGTGGGATTGAAGTTCAATTAACGGGTGTTGAACCCGTCATGTAGCTTGCATATATACAGACAGTAAACGTGATCGTGTTTATATAACTAACTACATAATTACATTTAATGTCAGGTTAGGTGTTTAATTGCAAATGTATCATTTACAATTTTTTATTTTATGAAGACATTTTTCGCCATCTTCCACAAAAAAAAATTTGTCGTCGTTACCATATTTTCATCGTAATGCAAAAATCTTTATCGTAAAATCTAAAACGTCTTTTAAACTTTGAACTTCAAAGAAGTCTATATTTTTTTTAATAAATGCAATTTAATGTTAAAGTGCGAAATATCTGTAATAAAAAAAAATAAAATAGATGAATTATTTATAGTTTAAACTCTTTATTGTTCTTCTCACAGAAAGTACAGTTACATACACAATTATGTATAAGAAGATAATAACATTGGGCAATAAACAAGACAAAAAGGCAACAATATTATATCAGAAGACGCGAATCCATAATACCTATATTGAACTGTCCATTGTACGATGTCGTCAGAAGACAAAGCATGCTATTTACTGAGAATATGGAATTAACAAATTTATGTGCTGAGCAATAAGTAAAATTGTTTTTACACCTTCAAATTTTCAATCCTTGAAATGTTACAAAGAAACTTATTTAAATAACCGATAAAGAAAAATAGAACGATTTTAAAAAACCTTTCAGGTGTAGAGAACAACGTTATCAGTGATTAATCTGAATTACATATGTAAATATATATAAATAAATTTTAATGTCCTACCATAATCGCACAATATATAACTTCTACAGATGAAACTACAAAGGCAAGCTATGGCCGACAGCATTACAATAGTTCGAGAAAAAAAACACGTATATTTTCGATAAACGTGCATATCAAACAGGATTTATTTACTGTGTGTACGGCCTTGGATTTGGACACAGTGAAGCCAGTGTCCACTAATCGATCGATCAAGCCCGAAAATATTTTGACACATCAGCGATAATGTTATCGACCGGACTTAACACTTTACCAGAAACGCACTGATACGGACACACCTATTATTATCATGTTTAGGTGGAGTTAGACCTAGCGAATATTCCTCCACTTCCTACTTCTATAATTTTTATTTTGCGTAATTTCATTCATTATTTTAGAAATATTATGGAAGCATTCTTTCGTTAACTTCTTACTGAATCGTTTGTGGTCCGACTGAACATTCTGTTTCGCCCAGTTTCATAAGTACAGTTTTAGTGTTAACAGTAGGTAAATTGACCGAAAATAATATACAAAACAGAAGTTACATTCCTGATTTTTTATTCTTTAAAATATTACCTTTATTATAATAAAATTTTCAGGTTAGTTATATTTCTCATTGAAATATATAATTAAACAATGACTTATAAGGTAGTTAATAATAGATTAGGTAATTAGATAATTAGTCTCAATTTTGTAACTCTTGTTCCTCTAGTCGAACTCCACCCTTATATATATAAAGGAGCATCATGTACTCACAATTGTAATGTCATTAGTGTGGATGTCGGCTCAGTCTGGGCGGTGGTCGGTCGCATACTTTACCTGAGGCAAAAACATAACTTTGAATAATCACTTAATTTTTTTATGTAACGTTAATAGCAAACGTCAGAATATATAAACTAACAGCAATACATAACGTCATCATATAATCCCTCAAGCGTTGCCTTTCCGGAGTACTAAGGTGCCTCTGTACTCCTATAATTTCTTTGACATTATCTCACCCTACTATTATTATTATTGTATTTGATTACAGATAGTATTTGATATAATAAACAGTGCAAAAATTAGTATTTAATAGCTTTGAAAGAGACTTTTTTAACTGTACACGCGAATAAAATCTCTGGCGTAGCTAGTTATTGATAAATCGAGTTCTTGGTTTAAAAATATCATATTTACTTAATCATAGATTTAATAATTAAGAACCCCGTAATGGTATTAAAAAAAATATATATATAAACATTCACATATTTCCTTATCAGCCCGATCGGGTCATCAAAAGATATTAGTTTATTGTTTTCGAAACAAAATCTCTTTTCAATATTAATAAAATTAGTACTACATCAATACTAAGTTATAAAGTCTTAAAAATTAATAAAGATATTCGTACTTAAACCGCTTTATAAGTTACTATTCTCTGTATAATAAGGTACATATAACAACGTTGTTATATGAAAAAATATTGTAATAAACAACGTCATATGAAATATGAAATTAATGATACTAAAAAAAAACTTGAATTACTTTTGAATCAGGTAACCCTAAAATCCACAAGTGGTTGTCAATTATGTGGTATTGTCATTTTTGTTTTAATATAATATCTTAGAGGTAAATAAAAAGCATAGTTTAAAACTACAACTACAATTTACAGTGCCGTCTTGAAAAGCAAAAACATTTCAGCGTAATAAAGACACGTTACAACAGAATAATATGTGAACATAATAAAAATTCATTTACTCTTCGCAATCGATAGTATAATACCTCTCTAGGTAATGTGTTTATGTATTGGAAAGGGCTTATGGCAGCGAACAAGTAGGTAAACAATCATATTACATTACGCGCCGCCACGTACTACAGTGTTGAGGGGAAAGACGAGAGGTATTATTATCACGGCGCGTGTTAATTGCTGTTGAAGTATATTTTGATTCGGAAAAGTGAAAGTAGAACGATATAGGGGTAAATATCCCAACGCTTTACACTAATCGAAATAGGATTCATTTCGTATTGCCTACACTCTAGTGAAGGGCAGGCAGGCTATTGTTATTAATGGGGCTATCGGTTTCATTGCAAGCAATATGACCAGGCATGTTGACTTCCATGCGATCTCCATCCCAATAGGAATTAGTCACGAGGGCCTAAGTAACATGATCTCATCTTCATTATTTCAAAGCTAAAGATGTTGCAGTAGTTACTAGTTACAAAAAGAAGCTTAATATAATTATAAGGTTATATTACTGCGTTATACAATATGAATTCTATTACAATTTATGACTCCTACAAAAATGATATACACCTATGATATGCGAGATCGTGCCCAGTGGCGTGCTTTCGAAGAGCAGTGTCTTGCTGTGAGCTGCAATAGCGATGATGATGAAGATTATATAATCACATTTGTAATATGTACAAATAACATAGACAAGAGACAAACGAATGTATCTTATAGCGATTATAATATACCTATATGTAGAAAGATCATATTTGCTACGTTGAGAAGTATTGAGGTTCTTTGCAATGAGGACACCTGTTATCTCAGTCAGGGCTGGATCGTGAATTTGTGGGGCCCTGGGCTAAATCTATTTAGGGGCCGACCTAATTATATTACTCAACTAAAAAAATACACGGACCAAAAACAAGCAACCAGAAATTTCTCGTTACTTTCGATGGACGCGCACTTACATCAGTTGAGTGATCTCAGGTTTACTAATCTTATGATAGGTTTTTTAACATTCTAGATATATTTTAATATTCTAATCATAGTGGGGACTGGGGGCCCTTCGTATCCTCGGGGCCCTAGGCCCTCCCCAATTCTATTATTTATTAATTATTCTTCGACATTAAGTTCCGTTACAAATATTATATACAGATTTTGTAACTATTTTTCATTGATTTTAATAATCAAATCACTTATAGAGCATTTTTATAAAAGACATGTAGTTAGTTTGCATTTTCACACGCTACTGGGGACATTGCTGTTGAATAGTAAGAAAGCATTTGTTTGCATACGTCACAAATAATATAATAAATAATTACAGCCGAACCACGCCATTTATGTTAATAAACCGATGGCAGATAAGGACATGTACATAACATGAAACAGAGATCTATATATATAATATTCCTTTCTCTTTCATATCTGTAGATATAAACATGTAGTATGAAGCTGACAGGTTTGTTACGTAGTAAAATATTTTCAATATCTGTATTAATCAATCGATCAACCGGTGTCAGATCTAGCGTGAATGTTGGAACGCGTGGCGATACAAAAAACAATACGACTTGATACGTTTTACAATTAGAGATAGTAGTAGGACCTCAATTATTAATATTACGTATGTACAGTTTATATGATATCATGTTTTGTAGTTATATTAATAATAACAAAATTGATCTTTAATCGTTAGGTTATAGGATACAATTTCAATGTCTTAAAACATAAAAAAACAGGCGACTCAAACACACAGCTTAATCTTTATATACGTTTTTTAATAGGATATACATCAGCCCTGAATTAATAAGATTACATTTATTTATCGATATCACATTCTTTGCCATTGTTAAAATTCTATTTTTGGACAAGTTTGCAATAATTTTTGAAACAAAATCGGAACGAAAGAATTTCAATGTTACCGTTAGATAAATATCATACACAATATTATGAAACTAACATGAAAATATAGACTAGACTGGCTCTGCAACCGTGGCAGGTGCGGTTAGCCTACCTCTGTCTATGGGGTTAATTTACTTTGTTAACGAAGTTTATCAACACTTTACAAAAAGAGTTGTTACGAAAAATTTGTGATGTGTTGTATGTAAAGAACGTCCCAATATAGATGTTGGTTTAACTACATATAATTTTTAATATATACTCATTTATAATACAGTTTTAATGTAACATATCAGCAGGCAATATTCCAAACAAGGCTTTATTGCTGCGTTGGTGCGACCATGAGGAAAAATTAAGGAAACACAGCGTGAAAGTGGCAACAAGCCGGTATGACTAACTGACTGAATACATGATCGGTACGGTGGTGTACTCTCTCTGAGCAAGGTGGAGATAACAACAGCCTCTGCAACCCTACATATGTGGGACTGTTGTGAAACTACATAAATAAAAAAATATGTATACAGTACTAGGTATTCTCCTCTACTTAACTATATTCAAACAAGTTATACAGGTACATTTCTTCCACAATAGTTTTATTTTTACCCCAAAAACATACCCTATACATACACATTTAATCACTTTACAAATCATAAACCCTAAAAATACTTGTCACCGTGGCCCTATAACAACAATAAGTACTTTTAAGTTACAGTCATACATCATGACATTTTAGTCCCCAAGTATGAGTGGTAAAAACAGATATTACAAACGTGGTGTTGTTCATGTAAATAGCTGACAGTTGCCATTTAGCATCAGACGATCCGACAGCTTGTTTGCCGTTCGACTTACATATAAATATATATATGTACTGATCAGTATCACTCACCAACGCTGCAGTTGTGACGTAGTCAGTTCGCAATCACCGATCCATCGGCGTACCGGCATTGATGTGACTCCGGCCGCGTCCGCGCCGCACTGGACGCAACGCACCACACACAACAAACACACTGTCACTGACACTGACACAGCACGACTGACAACCGCACGTCACACCAGCACTACACTGACAGAACCGACCGGCGATGCCGTCCGGTCGCACAGCACTCACTGCACGGTGTCACTCAACACCTGGAACAAAACAAAACAACGGTTAGGAATTTTGCAATACATGACATGCTGCCCGCATGTTGTCCGGCCGTAAAGATGCTATCATTAGAACAGTGTTTAACGAAAGCATAGAATCTGGTGAAGTGCTAACAAAATATATATACATACAAGAGATGTGTTATGAAAATAAGTAATAGTTGATTTTTATAGAATACAAGAAAAAGCATATAAAAGGTCGACTCGATTTAATACCTCTGGTATTAAATAATAAGATAATAGCATAATGTGCGTATGGTGACAGTGGGTGTTTCCTACGTATTAAAAAGTAGGAGTATTTATATCAGTTGTCTAGTATTCATAACACAAGCTCTGTTTAACTTGGGAATAGATGGCTATATTTTAATTGTTCAGGGAAAGTGTATATATAAAATTATTAAAGAATTACTACTAGCAAAGTTATACACGTATAATTTAATGACAGATATAAAAGTCTGTATAGAGGTTTAACATCCTTTAACGAATGTATTTCTTTTGCCGATACCGTAAAGAAACAGAATGTACTACTCAATATTAATTAAAGAAATACTCCTCATTATACTAAAATATACATTAATGTATGCCTTTCAGCCATCAGAATCAATAACACAGTTATACCTACATATAGATATACAGCAATCAATAGCCACTATGCGCGGAATAGTCTCACGTCTGTTTATAACAATACGTAGACACTGTTGACAGTTAGGGTTGCCAACTATACTGTTTTAAACAGTATTAAACTGTTTTTCATACTTTTGTTCAAGAGTAAAAAGTATAATTTAGACTTTTTACTCTTAAACAAAAGTATAGAAAATACTCTTTTCAGCATTTACTGAAAGAGTTTTTCAGTAATGAATGCCAAGTGTCGGGATAATATAAATAGAGCATTTATTAACTTAATAAATAACGAGCTCCTCATTTATTTTGATTTCAATTATAATTGTAAAGATTGTAAATTAGTAAGTTTTGCGAGAAGCTCTAAAAATATGTATTTAAAACAATAAATAAATAAATTACCGTTCATTTTTCTAAAATACTGTTTAATATTTTTCAAAGACCTGAATATAAATTATTGTAAAAAAAGTTGGCAAACCTACTTACAGTGTCTGAAGGAGGCGTCAACATAGTAAGTTGCACCGAAACAGCGGCAGAACCAACATAATACTTTACGACCCATAAAACCAGGCGGGCAACACTGTCATTTTATTGCCCGCGTTACCTGCATTGTTTCCTTAATACACAAACTTATGTCTGAGCGATGGCAGACGTGATGACAACAGTACAAACATAAGGGGTTTACAGTGAGGATTTGCATTGTGAATTACCGCATGTGTGTTTGCGGGCAATTTAAGTTTATGTGAAAATGTTTTATTTGCATTTGAAATCCCTATATGCAATTAATCTCCTTGAATTTCTCACCTAATTCTGTCGCGAGCAGTATACTTCGCAAGCTTTATTACGACGTGCAGTGTAAGTTTTGCAACGAAAACTATGGTTTTATGAATAAATAACACAACAGACCACGAATGTCAGTAGGAATATATTTTGTGACGTCCATGGTGATGTCATATAATATAGGCTTCGGTTGCCATTTTCCAATCCGACGAACTTGTTTGCTATTCCAGTTTCATAAAGAAAACATTTGAGATATATCAGAAATAATAAGAACAAAATAATGTAATTCCTAATTAGAAGTAAACTCTAATGACTAACATGTCGAAATAAATCGTGTAACTTTTGTGAAATTAAGAAACTTAATTTTCTTTCATGAATTTGGTAGAAATACTAAATGATAAAACACAATTATTATTTCAGTAATATAATTAACAATAATTTCAACAAAGTTCGGCAACAAACAGACGACTAACTGTAACTCATTGTTTTAGTAATTATATTAAGTTAATAAACGCCAGTACAAATTTTAACAAAAAAAATACTAAAAAAGAATATCATTTATTTTGAAGTAATAAAAAAATGAAGGCTACTAATTATGTACGTGATAATAGTCATAAATAGATTGTCTTAAATAAAGTGTATGGACAAACGATAAACACAACAACTGTTCACTTCCATCTTGAAATCCTGAGAGCTATACGAAAAATAAAGACAATTCCCATACTATTTGCATTTGGAACGAAACTGCACGTCCTAGCGCACTCCATCTTGCGTATGCATGTCATTTCAGACGATATATTATTGTCTGAAGCGATATTCATGCAAAATATAGCGTCCAACATACACTTATGTATCCAATGAACTCTTTATTTACAGTTACAGTTCGTTTTATGAAATGCTATTACAATAAAAAATTGCTCCTTTTTATTATCACATTATTTGTTTATTCAATTTGAAACATACAAACAAGATATATATACTACATACGATATGTATGGACAGTCGATTTTAGTTTCTACTGTACCTTAAGAAAATAAAAAGTTGAATATTACCTCCTAGCAAATAGAAACTAAAATTCATTGCACGTTCTGTTGAACATAATTATTCGATAGAGCTGACAGTCATTAAAGCGGTCCAACTTGACATGGGTCTGAAATCTGAATATTATTATTATACCTTAGGGGTTGCGGAGTTACAATTACAATCCCTTCGTGTAGAATCCGGGCACGCTGCTCGAGTGAGCTCCCAAGACTACCAGCATACCGATAAAATAGTCATTTAACAGATTTACTATTAACTGGCGGCCCGTCCCAGTTTCGCACGGATGCAATACAAATCTTTAAATTTCTCCGCTTTGTCTATATAATAACACGCATGTATTATACATATGAACCATCCTCTCAATTATTTCTGAAAACTGGATTAAAGTCCGTTGCGTAATTTAAAACATATAAGTGAATAGTTCGTTTTAAACTATGTAGAGAAATGTCAAATAAGGACAACATTTCTTAAAAAGATAAAGTTATTTGGCGTTGCCGTTTTTGAAATACATAATTTATATTACAATAAAAGAACTAAGAAACTATATTCATACTAGCCTACATTCCATCACAAACAAATAATATCGTTATTTACCATGTCGTAACAATAAATTCTCCTAAAGAGCAAGCGATAAATATTAGGACTTTAGACCACTCCAAGAATTGGAAAAGCGATGTTAAACATTGCACAGAATAGTAACACTGTTTTCTTTCCACGGTAATATATGCCTATAGAATTAACAAACTAACAATCCTATTACCAAAGTCATTAAAGTTTATTATGGGATTGACAAAGTTTGCAAATATTTATGTGGTAAATGTGTGTGTCTCTAATGCATTTCGCACTTTTTATTGCTATGCAACATCGCTGAAAAACTTTGCCGTATCAATAAAAACTAAATATATAGCATTCATATCTAATTGCTGTATATAATGAATATTACCGGAAACCCAGAGAACTACAATTGCATACTACAGTTACATATTAAAATATTTTTTTAGAACCAAATAAAAACTAACAATCTTTTTTAAATAATTCCCAAATTAAAGATAGGCATCAATACAAAAAAATAAAAATATGTCATTTGAGTATTTTTGTTGTTGTCAGCCCTAAATCTTCGTGTCGAATGCGGAAGTTATTGACCGGCAAGATAGTACGATTTAACAGATTATTAGTAGACCCTATTGCTGTAAAAACTTTTAGTGCAATTAAAAGATAAGTGTTTTTGAACGATGGACGTTTGAATGCGCCGTAAAATAATAACAATTTATATTATGAACATTGGGACTTGATGTCTCAATTTGAAGATAACATAGATGTGATTTTTAAATTGTAAGCGTCATCAGAAACTATTTAAAGAAAGCAAACTAATAGTATACATAATTATAGTCCGCAATAGAAATCGCTAAGATTTACGCAGTTATTCATAAGACTGCTAAATGTCCTACAAACATATTTTAACTATTGAACTGTTTTAACCTAATTCGACCTAATGACGGTGCCAAAACATTATAATGGATGATCATCATCAGCCCACTGCAGTCCACTGCTGGACATAAGCCTCTCCCAAGGCACGCCACTGGGCACGATCTTCAGCCCTTCTCATCCAGTTACTACCCGCAACCCTACGTAAGTCGTCGCTTAGCTGCGGGGCGTACCACACTACGTTTGCCAATTCGCGGTCTCCACTCTGGAACACGCCTACTCCAGCGAGCATTGGTTTTGCGACAGATATGACCAGCCCACTGCCACTTCAACTTACAGATGCGAAGAGCTATGTCGGTGACCTTAGTTCTCTGGCGAAGCACTTCGTTTCGGATTTTATCCCTCAGAGAAACTCCAAGCATAGCTCTTTCCATAGCTCGTTGAGCGACTTTGAGTTGGTGGACCAGTCGTATCGTCAGTGTCCACGATTCGGCACCGTAAGTCATAACGGTGCCGAATCGGGTACCGAATAACGGGTAGGACGCACTGGTTATATATTGGTCTTAAGGCTTTGTGGTAGCGACGACAAGAAGACTTGACGAAGTTTCCCAAATGCCGCCCAGCCTAGCTGTATTCGTCTCTTGGCCTCCCTCTCAAAGTTGTGTTTACCTAGTTGCAGTGTTTGTCCTATATAAATATACCCCTGCGAATGAATGCGATCATTGAACATGATCTTGGTTTTGTCCAAATTCATCCGAAGACCGATGCGTTGAGATGATTCAGCCAGGCCGTTCAGCATCTGTTGTAAATCCTGCAGCGATTCAGCCATGATGACAATGTCGTCAGCAAATCGTAAGTGAGAGATGGCCGTTGACATTAAATTAACAATTCTAAACATATCCTCCAACGCATTAAATAATTTAGGGGATATAACATCCCCTTGTCTTACACCACGCTTTAGGTGGATATGCTTAGTCTGCTGGGTTTGTACTTGGACGGTCAAGCGTTATAGAGACATCTCAACACTTCGATGTATCGCCAGTCGACTTGGCATCGCTGCAGAGACTCCAGAACAGTGTCTCGATAGAGTCAAAGGCCTTCTCATAGTCAACAAAGGCTAG